ATATTAGTAGACACCAGGAGCTTAGCCAGGAATTTGCTTGGGAGTGGGGGTGGGGGGGGGGTTAATTTTTATAAAAATAATTCAAAAATTTCTCCTTAAATAAATATTGAACATCAAAAATTTTGTAAATTTATATATTAGGATTAATGACTAGAAAAATAACAATTACTAATATATTAATAATCTGTAAATAAACATCAAATATACTTTCTAAATAAAATAAATATAATTTTATTCACCGAAATTCTTTTATAATGACTAGATGTATATAAATAGCATATAATCAACCCATTTGCTTTAAAAAAATTCAAAAATAATTTTGACAATTGTCATTTTTTTATGATACACCTTAACTGAAATTTTAATTTAACATATTTTTACCCATTTGCCAAAATTCAAAAATAACGATTATGACAATTGTCACTTTTTTTTATGGTACATAATCACTTAAAAATATAACGATGACAAATGCCAGTGCATTAATAATAGTAAGTCAGAGCATTATAATTAAAAGAAGCTACCCTCTTATAATTTGAATATCTACTAAATTTTATTATTATATATATTGGAGTCAACCCTAGTCTTGGTCGAAAAAAATGATCAGGATAATGGATGAGGTGAAAAAAAGAACATAAACCTTAGATCTTCCTTTAAAAAACGACCCATATTTTGGATCGGATCCAATAAAACGACCATACCTTTGGGTTGAAGTCGTAAAAAATGACCCGTTTGAGTCTGAGTCGAAAAAACGACACAACTATTCGTTTTCCAGTTGACTTAAGTATATAACTCGTATAACGACTCAAGTTGGAAGTCTAAAGTTAAAGAAAAATGTTTTATAAATTAATAATAACTAATTTAAAATCTCCGTCCTTAAGTCGACTCAAGTTCATAGAACTATTCGTCCTCTAATCGACTCAACAATATAATTTGTATTCACGACTCAAATTGGATGTCTAAAGTAAAAAAATGTAAATAACAGAACAAATATCTTAAATAATAATAACTAATATGAAATATTAGCACTCTAGTCGACTCAAATTGACGACTCAAGTTCATTGAACTATTCGTCCTCAAAAATATAATTTGTATTCACGACTCAAATTGGATGTCTAAAGTAAAAAAATGTAAATGACAGAACAAATATCTTAGATAATAATAACTAATTTGAAATATTAGCACTCTAGTCGACTCAAATTGACGACTCAAGTTCATAGAACTATTCGTCCTCTAGTCGACTCAACTATATAATTTGTATTCACGACTCATGAAAGTCTAGAGTAAAAAAATGTAAAATACAAAAAATATCTTAATTAATAATAAATAATCCTCGTCCTCTAATCGACTCAAGTACTAGAGGACGAATATTTTATGAACTTGAGTTTACGACTTGAGTTCATAACTCGAGTTAACTTGAATTTGAGTTAGTCGACATATTCGACTAACGACTCGAGACTCTGGGTCAGAGTTGGATGAACTCGACTTTTTAACAACACCAGGGAAGGAGTTATTAATTGGGGAAACCCCAAAAATGAAGTATTATATTTAATTTATAACAAGAGTTATTCATATAACTATAATATAACAATTTTTAAGGTTCTTTTTAATGTACAAAACCTCTCAAGACCAATTAGAATTATATTTTTATAGTATTCGTAGCAAGAGTGGATTTAATGATAATCCATCAGCATATCAGGTTCGATCTGCTTCGCATTTCATTAATGGCAAAATTGGATGCAACAATTACAGGATCGATCTGCTTCGCATTTCATTAATGGCAAAATTGGATGCAACAATTACAGGAAATTGCATTTCCTTAGACAATACACATTTAATATGTTCAAATTTTCAAAATAACATGAAATCCAATAATATCCACCACATTATCTTATTATTTTAGCCAAACAAATCCCCATAACCCGAAATTATCATTATATTTCGGGATATATAGTACGACAACTTATTAAAGAAAAAAAGGGATGTTGTGATGTTTGCATTAATGCAATGGTCAGTGATTCATATATTGATAATAATATAAATAATATGCTCATAAATTTTAAAAATAATGGGGGGTTAGGATTCCTTCATTTAGTATGTCAATATTATGCCGAATTTGTGAAAGTTCATTTAGAACTTATCAAAATGATATTAAACATAAAAATATTATTAAAATAATGGAAGTGTTTGTTTTTTCCAAAATAATTGGTTCAAATATTTTTATTGATCTTACTGTATTAATGAACATGAGATTGGTTACAGCCATTTTCAAATTCTTGTAAAATTAATTGTTCAAAGGTAATCATTATTAGTTTTAATACTATTTTTTTTAAAGATATTTAAATATTAGATTTTTTCATATTGCTGACTTGAGAAACCAGGAATTGAGAACTGGTATGAGGCAAAATCTTACAAAAGCAATACAATTTAATAATCAATAAGTCATAATTAATATTTATATCTTCTTTTATATTTTAAAAATTATATTGTATAAAGAACAGGCCTGATATAAAACATATTATAAAAATTATGATATTATATATTATCTATACTAATGTAATTATATTTTATTTTTTATAGGTGATGATCAAATCAAAAAGGATGAATATTTATAATCAAAGATAATATGAATGTGAATCATCACATTGTTAAAAATACATTTTGTTTTTTAAAGTGTACACATTTACATTTTTATATATTTATTGTATAAACCTTATTTAAATGATTTATACTATTATTTATACTCATGCAAAAATGTTATTATTGCATTATGTTTTTATTGAAAAAAAAATAAAAGATGTTTTCATTTGTCATTTATAATTAAAACAAAAAATGATAAATGATTATTACATAATAGTAATTTAAAAATTAAGTAAGGTGAGCTCTTTATCCATCTTTTAAGATGGATCAAAAACTTATTTTATCTAGGACATATAATCCAAAATAATTTTTAATTGAAAGGATATTTTTTTATAAAATCTTATTTTCTTAACATAATTTATCGATCTTTATATCTACTTTTAGAGTATATCTTTGGTTTATCCCTTTATAAAAAAATTAATAATACAAAATAAAAATAAGTTAAAAAGTAAGAAAAAAATTAACAACACTGATTTTTCTTCAAAATTTGTAGATTTTATTTAATTATATTTATACAGATCTCTTTTTTTATATAAATTTTGATTATTATTTTAAGGTATAAATAACTATTACCTAAAATTAAAAGTACCAGCAACTACAATAAATATTGGTGCATCATTTTTATTTATTAATAAGATATGAATCATAAAATATTATATTTAATAATAAGGATTCCATAAATGAACAATAAGTGGATAGTAAGATTTTTATTGAAACATCAAGTGAATTTGATAAAACAATAAAAACTAATTTTCTTAGAAAAAATAACAAATATATATAAAAAAATTAAATGATTTATTTGCAATTAATATGTATAAAATAAATTAGCTTTTCTATTAAATAATTGAGGGTTAAATGGTTGAGGAATGTTTAAAAATAAATTTATTTTTTATAATAATATTAATCAAATATAAATTAACTTAAAACTATGATTGAAAGAAGTATTTTCTTGACTGAGTCAAAGGAATCTGTGTGATAAGTTCTTTGGCAATTATATATAGGCAGTTGACCTTATTTGGTTGAATATTTGAGGGTGTAATAGATATAAGTATGGAATATTTTGTATGGATATAATTTTGGTGATTTTTGTTTCAGGGATATTGTAGCAATCTATGTCTCTGAATCATAGGCATAGCCAGGATTTTCATAAGGGGGGGGGGGAATTAAAAAATTACTGGGGGCTTCGCCCCCAGACCCCGTTTGGGGCGGGCCTTCGGCCCGCTTTTCCGGCCTTCGGCCGGGTTACTTTAGTCTATATATAGTCATAAAATATTTTTACAAATTTTAATAAAAAAAATGAGCCTGGAACAAATATGAAATATATTTTTATTAGTTTATATAAAATATAATAGATTACTTATATATACATTAATATAAAAGCATGGTAATAATTTATTCCAAACAATTATAAGAAATTTATTTATAAAAAGTAAGTAGACATATAGTTAATTTTATTCTATTATATAAAATTAGTTATAAAATACTAGGTAAAATTCCAATTTCAGATATTTGACAGTTAGAGAATATATTACAGTTAATAATTTAACAAATTTTACTAATCAATGCTCTTGATATTAAATATAGCAACAATTTGCATTCAATTATTTAACGCCATCTATTTATATTAAGTAAAAATGAAATTTAAATTTAATCTTAATATTATTCATCACACAATGTCTTTAAAAGATATTTTCTGATGTCCTTATCAATATTTTATAGTTTTCTGTAAAATATATAATTCGCTATATTGGTAAAAATTACTTGATTGTCATTTGATAATTAGATATACTGTAAATCTACGACATATAATATTCCACTGTTTGTATTGTGCTTTAATATTTTTTTAATTATTGATTTAATTTTATCAATAGTTTTATAATTATATTTTACTTTTATTAAGATAAATAAATTAAAATTACTCACTTTCTAAAAAATTATATTTGATATATTATATTATTTAGTAATTTTATGGATCTATTATTAATAATTATAATAAATTTCACTTCTGTCTTAAGACTTATCTTTGGCTTATATTCCATTTATTAAAAGACATTTTTGGTTCATTTTATATATTTATAAATATATTATCCCAAAAATTTATAAATTATGATGAATAGTTTTATAAAAAAATATCAACTTTTACATTCTTTCTTTTAAATTATTATTTAAGATATATGCATACATATTTAAGGGTCAGGGAGTGGGGGAGTACTAAGGGGGATATTTTTTATTAGCTAAAAATGATATTTACAAAAAGTGATAAATTTCTGAAGGGGGGGGGATTTCCCCTTGCCCCCCCCCCTGGCTACGCCTATGCTCTGAATAATTTCTGGGTGAAAGTAATTTATTGATATTATGTACTACTATTGGATTAAATGTTGAGTGTTTTTTATTTTAGAGAATACCAATATAATTTAATTGAAGATCAGTTGAGGTTAGGATTCATTTGATTATTTTACATTATTAACAAATTATTAGATATAAAATTTTTAAATTTTTAAAAATTATTATTTGAAAAATCTCAAATGAATAATTTTAAATTTCAACTACGACATCGATATTTTTTGATTTCCGGTGGAAAATTTGAAGTGATAGAACGTTACGATTCAAACATATAATCTGCATGTTGCCTAAATGGGGAAAATATATTGAGTATGAATATGGAAATTATCTTCAGGGATGGATATAAACTGATAAGTGATTGTATTTGTACTTTGTATTTTATTTAATCATATATTTCTTATTTTAAGTTTTAAATTTTATTTCTAGAGTACCTACCCCGTCCCTTTTTTTAAATAAATAGGGCCGTAGGTTTTGGGTGTGGGCTGTTCTCTTGGTCCTCCCTATCTGTTCCAGCCCATAGACGTTTAAATAATAGTTTATGAACTATTATGCGTACAAGTACGTGCGGCTTGCCCACAAACATGTGAAGGGCTTCTCATATTTTAATTTATACCTAACTTATCTTCCAATTAGATGGAAATGAGGAAAACCTAGATTAGCTCTGTTGTACCTACAACGTTGATAGGGCGTATGCGCTTTATTCCGTAAAATTATTATTATTATTGAGGCATTTGATCAACGTACAATCTACAAAATGGCGCTACAGCTGATTTCAATGTGTGGACGTTTTTTTATGCATGATCGCCAATATATAGTTATATATATCATTGATTTAGGGTTAGTAAATTTAAAAAAAGTATAATATATTAATATAAAACCCGGCCGACGCCCCACATATAAAATTTTTTTAGTTGAGCCCCCTAAGATTGTAAAGGCTAGCGACGCCCCTGAATATTCACATATGTATTTTTCATTCTTTGAGGATATTTAAAAGAGAGATTACAGCTGAAAAGAGAAAAATTACTACATCTGAAGTTAAAACAGTGCTGGAAATACTAGGAAAAATAGTATACAGTAAGACGGAAGATGTATACAATTATCTTTACGAGAAACTTATAGATTAAAAATTGCCCTTAGTTTCTTTGTATTTTAATACACATTGACACTTTATTAGTAAAGAATGGGTGATATATTGGAGAAATGAGTCACCACATCTGCTCAATTTTACTAACAATCGTTTAGAATCTCTTAATCAAAAAATTAAAAGAGTTGTAAATAAATATTCTCCATTAAATGACCATTTTTCAGATTTATCAATAGTAGTTAGTTCTCAAGCCTTTGAAAGGCATCACAGAAAATGTGTATTGAGAGGCTACCATGTGTCACCTACGTATGTTATACTCCAGAAAATTTGAATTCAATTCTTTTAACACCATATGCATTTAAAATTATTTTAAATGAAATCTCATTTCATAATCAAATACATCTATTAAATATTGATACTATTTTAAACCATGCGTTGGTCCTTGAAAAGGGTGTAGAATTTAAAGTTACACTAAAATCATGTGCATGTGGTTTTTTTACTTGCATAAAGCTGCCTTGTCGCCATATATTAGCACTTCATGCTGCCTTAAGATTGGATATTTATCTTAATCATCTCTGTGGAGAGAGGTGGACTAAAAAATATACCCAGGATAGCTCAATATTGTCACCTGAAGATTCTTCTCTGTCTCAGTCATATTTAAACATTTCCCAACATCATGATTTTCCATGCACAAAAAATTTGTCAACCAATGAAAAATTTAAACGTTCAAAGAATATTGATGCCCTTTTCAAGTTTAACATCTCAGCTTCCTCAAGAAATTTTTGATGTATTTATAGAAAAACTAAAAAAAAACTTGATAGTATAGTTCAAGCTGGAAAATATTTTGATGTCATTGAAGTGGATCAAAGTATATTTCCCAATTCCATAGTTATTCCAAAGATAAACATTATACAAGGTTAGATTAAATTTTTGTTGTATTAGAATGATAAAGATTAATTATATTTTAAATTATTATTTATTGTTGTATTAGAATGCTAAAAATTAATTGTATTTTAAATGATTATAATATATATATCAGAGACCTGCAGAGGTACCATTTGCATGACCCGGCCCGGCCCGGTTTTAAATTTTTTAGGCCCGGCCCGGCCCGGATTTAAAAATTTAAGGCCCGGCCCGGATATTTTTTAAAAAAAAATTTCAGGCCCGGCTCGGAATTTTTTAAAATTATATTCGACCTGGTATATACAAAAATTTACCTATGAGGTATTTTACCATATTTTTCAGCGAGTATTATCGCTTATTATTTAAAAATACATGTAAAAAACTAATATTTTGAGAATATTATATTGAATTTATAAAAATTATAAAACTGTTATTTATAAAAATGGATATTTTGAGCATATACTATATTTTATATTGCATTTATAAAAATAAAAATAATATTCATAAAAATGGTAATAATATTTGTCATATACTATATTTTATATTACATTTAAAATAATAAAACTAATATTTAATTTATAAAAATGGAAAATATTTTGAGAATATAATATATTGTATTTAATTTACTAT